TTAAAAATTCACCTATCCCGTCCTAATTGGGATAACGGGATGAAAAAAGGGCAGTTCGGCGGAGAATTAAATTCTCCATTAATTAACGCTCTTTCATCCCTTACTCTCTGCAACAAAAAAATATAAACTGCCATGAATGTCATGGGCTAGTGAGAAAAATTATAGTTTCGCGGCGCAGTGACTCCCGGTAATTAAAAATTCACCTATCCCGTCCTAATTGGGATAACGGGATGAAAAAAGGGCAGTTCGGCGGAGAATTAAATTCTCCATTAATTAACGCTCTTTCATCCCTTACTCTCTGCAACAAAAAAATATAAACTGCCATGAATGTCATGGGCTAGTGAGAAAAATTATAGTTTCGTGGCGCAGTGACTCCCGGTAATTAAAAATTCACCTCTCCCGTTCTAATTGAGATAAAGGGATGAAAAAAGGGCAGTTCGACGGAGAATTAAATTCTCCATTAATTAACGCTTTTTCATCCCTTAATCTTTGTAACAAAACATATAAACTGCCATGAAAGTCATGAGCCAGTGAGAAAAATTCTAGTTTCGCAACGCAGTGACTCCCGGTAATTAAAAATTCACCTCTCCCGTCCTGATTGAGATAAAGGGATGAAAAAAGAGCAGTTCGACGGAGAATTAAGAAAAATAATTTTCTTCTCGGCGCACAGTGACTTTTCACCATTCGCCCGCGAATTAAAAATTCACTTCTCCCCTCCTAATTGAGATTAAGGGATAAAAAAAGAGTAGTTCGATGGAGAATTAAATTTACCATCAATCGATCCCCGTTGCATCCCTTAATCTCTGTAACAAAAAAATACAACCTACGACCAAGTCATGGGCCAGTAAGAAAAATAATTTTCTTCTCGGCTCACAGTGACTTTTCACCATTCGCCCGCGAATTAAAAATTCACTTCTCCCCTCCTAATTGAGATTAAGGGATAAAAAAAGAGTAGTTCGATGGAGAATTAAATTTACCATCAATCGATCTTCGTTGCATCCCTTAATCTCTGTAACAAAAAAATACAAACTACGACAAAATCATGGGCCAGTAAGAACAATAATTTTCTTTTCGGCGCACAGTGACTTTTCACCATTCACCCGCCAATTAAAAATTCACTTCTCCCCTCCTAATTGAGATTGAGGGATATAAAAAGAGTAGTTCGATGGAGAATTAAATTCCCCATCAATCGATCTCTGTTGCATCCCTTAATCTCTGTAAAAAAAATACACATTACGACAAAATTCATGGGCCAGTCTCCCCCCCCCCCCAAAAAAAAAGTTCCTCCGACATTTTTCCTTTTTCCCTGACATTAGGGGTGTGCGAACAGTGTACAAATGGAATGTAATCGAATAATCATATTTTTGGAATTATTCAAAATGGCGAATTATTCGAATTTTTCGAATAATTCGATATTCATAGAATGGACAATGAATTCTGGAAGTTTGTGAGTGAGAAGTCCTCATTTAGATTAGTATTTTATTTTAGTATTATCACCCACATAAATTTATCAACTGCAAATGGATGCTTGGCATCCCCTGAATCCCTAAAAAAAGTTTCAGCGAAATTGAAATAAATCAAATATTCGAAATGTGTGTGTTCGGGTGTGAGAAGTTCAAATTTTTATTTTTATTGGACACATAAAATTCACAAAGTTACGGGAACATATCTTGCATGGATGTTCCAACTGAAAATGTATTCTAGGCACCCCCTCAACCCCCCCAAAAAAAGTTCCATNATGGGCTAGTGAGAAAAATTATAGTTTCGTGGCGCAGTGACTCCCGGTAATTAAAAATTCACCTCTCCCGTTCTAATTGAGATAAAGGGATGAAAAAAGGGCAGTTCGACGGAGAATTAAATTCTCCATTAATTAACGCTTTTTCATCCCTTAATCTTTGTAACAAAACATATAAACTGCCATGAAAGTCATGAGCCAGTGAGAAAAATTCTAGTTTCGCAACGCAGTGACTCCCGGTAATTAAAAATTCACCTCTCCCGTCCTGATTGAGATAAAGGGATGAAAAAAGAGCAGTTCGACGGAGAATTAAGAAAAATAATTTTCTTCTCGGCTCACAGTGACTTTTCACCATTCGCCCGCGAATTAAAAATTCACTTCTCCCCTCCTAATTGAGATTAAGGGATAAAAAAAGTGTAGTTCGATGGAGAATTAAATTTACCATCAATCGATCTTNGGGTGAGAAGCCCAAATTTTGAGTTTTATTTGACAAAACAAAATTGTCACCCGCAAGGGATCATAGCCCACATGAATTTTTCAAATGGAATTTGATCGTAGGCACCCCCTGCACCGTAAATTAAATAATTCGAAATGTCGAAAAGCAGACCATTCTGCTCCATCCCCCGCGAATAATTTTTAATTTCGGATGCACTGATTTCGCTTGATTTCGGACGATTTCGAATGACTTCGGTGGTGATTTCGGAGAGCCGAAATCCCTTGATTTCAGGGATTTCGGTGATTTCGGCGTGATTTTCGGCCAGACTGGCACCATGATTTCGGGAGTGATTAGCCCCTCGATTACATGTTTTTAGGGGCGGCAAATTTGTTTTACTGTTCAACCTTTTTCGACATTTCTCGGACCACCGCCTAATCGCTTTCCACTCCTTTGAACGACGATTTAATTTTTTAACAACTCAACAAAACATCATACTGTCAAATACGGCTTCGTCAAGGTTCAAATACCAGTCGACCTCCAAAATTAATCGAACATTTCCCTCATGTTTTCCTGCGTGTGAACGATCAGGATAAGTTCTGCAAAACTTCTCTCTCTCGTTGATATTCAACAACACAATCGGGAAAAATTCGATAATTTTGGAGGTCTGGTGGTACTACTGATTATTCTGCACCATTCAAATCTCGACCAATAGCACAGCTATTAGAAAGGGAAGAGGTTAATTTTCAGGATAGTGAAACTGAATGCGATGTAGAGAGAATAAATCATGAAATTTCAGGTTTGACTTGAAATGCAGTGAAAATTGTTCTCACTGGCCCATGACATTCATGGCAGTTTGTATTTTTTTGTTACAGAGATTAAGGGATGAAAGAGGGTTACTTAATGCAGAATTTAATTCTCCGTCGAACTGTCCTTTTTTCATCCCTTAATCTCAATTAGGAAGGGAGAGGTGAATTTTTAATTACCGGGAGTCACTGTGCGCCGCAAAAGAATTATTTTTCTTACTGGCCCCTGACTTTCATGGCGATTTTAATTTTTTTGTTACAAAGATTAAGGGATGAAAGAGGGTTAATTAATGGAGAATGTAATTCTCCGTCGAACTGCCTTTTTTCATCCCTTAATCTCAATTAGGAAGGGAGAGGTGAATTTTTAATTACCGGGAGTCACTGTGCGCCGCAAAACAATTATTTTTCTTACTGGCCCCTGACTTTCATGGCAGTTTTTAATTTTTTGTTACAAAGATGAAGGGATGAAAGAGGGTTAATTGATGAAAAATTTAATTCTCCGTCGAACTGCCCTTTTTTCATCCCTTAATCTCAATTAGGAAGGGAGAGGTGAATTTTTAATTACCGGGAGTCACTGTGCGCCGCAAAACAATTATTTTTCTTACTGGCCCCTGACTTTCATGGCAGTTTTTAATTTTTTGTTACAAAGATGAAGGGATGAAAGAGGGTTAATTGATGAAAAATTTAATTCTCCGTCGAACTGCCCTTTTTTCATCCCTTAATCTCAATTAGGAAGGGAGAGGTGAATTTTTAATTACCGGGAGTCACTGTGCGCCGCAAAACAATTATTTTTCTTACTGCGCTGTTATTTCCATGACAGTTTCTTCCATTTTTCACAGAGATTAAGGGATGAAAGAGGGTCAGTTGGTGGGGAATTTAATTCTCCGTCGAACTACTCTTTTTTCATCCCTTAATCTCAATTAGGAGGGGAGAAGTGAATTTTTAATTCGCGAGCGAATGGTGAAAAGTCACTGTGCGCCGAGAACAAAATTATTTTTTTCACTGGTCCATGACTTTGTCGTAGTTTGTATTTTTTTGTTACAGAGATTAAGGGATGCAATGGGGATCGATTGATGGGGAATTTAATTCTTCATCACACCCTCTGTGTTTCATTCCTTAATATTAATTAGCCAGCAAATGAATCACCTGAAAAACATTAAGAACATGCTGAGGACGAGGAGGACACAAATTCCACTCCGAAACTATCCCTGTGACAGCGGGACTGCTACTGCCGAGTTACCCGCACAGGCAGTTCGCCCAGCCGTCAGATTTGACCGTGGCGGCATCCCTCCGTTGGGGTCGAACTACTTTCGGCTTGGGTTCTGTCTAACCCTGAGATCTGAGCCTCTACTTTAGTCAATCCTCTTTGGTTCTGCTGTGCACAGGGGAGAGATTTTGCGCGTTTTATGTTGACATAAAAACTTATAATTTTGCTCCCGCCAGAGAGCGTGGCAGTAGTTGGTATGAACGGTTCTGTTAGATTTTGAGAACACGTATCCCGGCAGTTTTAAATTGATTTATGAGTTGATGCAGAGGAGAAATAAGGAATTGAGTTGTGATATATAGATTCAAGAGTTTTCACAAGGTACGTAATTGTCATTTAATAATGGTTCGGGTGCTAACGAACCCCAAATGTGAGCAATAAACAACGAAAATGAGGTTATAACATCATGCATCATGTGTAATAATTGCTGAGATTTTATTCTATTTTCCCTTCCTCCATCCAGATTTGGATACACAATGCTCCCTTTCCCGAGGAACGTAGCAGCAGCAATTGCAGTAGATGAAGCTGCAAGAAATATAGCAGCAGCTATTAATAATCAGAGGATTGAAGCCAACAGGGCCCGGAATATTGAGATGAGAGAAGCTCAAGATCCATTTCATACTCTGGACGAATTTCGTTTCGAAAAAGGTTCCGGTAAGTACAATGACAATAAATATAAAATATCATCTAGCCCTAATAGTAACGACTACTATCTGGGACTAATGTTGCAAATTTGTGGAATGCTNCCATACCAACACTCCATTATTTTTAGTAATTGCACTTTATTAATAGTCCCTTTCTCATCTCAGAAGAACACATAATAATCGATATTATAAACACCCTCAGCTTCTGCGTGCAACAGTTCCCTCCATTTTTTATAATTGAAATTACTTCATATATTCTGTCTAGCTTTATCGTCGGCACTGTCTGTGTCTCCATCATCCCTAAGAAACAAAAAGAGTAGAATGTTAACAAATTAAAACTCGGTAATTTAGGTGATGCTGGATACCCACTGGCGCCCATACTCCTCATACCAATTGTCGATGCAGCCGAGAATACCCCTCAATACATGTATACTCGTCGACATTGCAAAACAAGATGTGCCATTGAACGAGTGTTCGGGGCCTTGAAAGGACGATTCAGATGCTTGCACAAAGATCGAGTATTAG